GTATGAAAGACAAACAAACAAAAAATATCAGTAATAGTAAAGAAGAACCTTCCCACGCTGTCCTCCAACCAACCATTAATGAAACAACCCCCCCCCCCCTCAAAAAAAAAATCACAGCAAGGCATTGAAAGGAAAACACAATACCAGGGCAGTTTTCATTAATTTTTTTTAGCCATCTTGAAAACTGGTAACCAGATGTTGGTTTTTTTCCACTATGGAACTCAAAACCCCTTAAATTTTTTCCATCTTTTTTATTTGAACAATACCCATCAACCATAAGAAGAGGAAATGCAAACCTCGTTAATTCCCGTCACCATTGTAGGGCTGGAAGAAATTAAGTTTGAGAACAGGCACAACAGACAGAAAAAAAGGGGAAATAAAAACTACAGACACAAACCCCAGTCATATCGTTATACAAATGGACGAGCAAATAACAGGAAAAAGAACAAACAAATCACAAGAGAACAGCCAACAGGAAAATGAGGATTGAGGGAGCGAGGCAGCAAAGACTAAACACAAAAATACCAGAACTGAAAGTAAAAAGAAAGAAAAAAAATAAGGATCAAAATAAAAACAACCAGAGAGACAAAAGAGTGGCAAACAAATACAGACCAGTTTGAAAAAGAATAGCCTATAATAATAGGACACTGGAGCCTGAAGGAAAATAATTTCAAAAGTGACACTGGAATGTCATTTTACAGTTCAAGCACAGACAGTGATTTCAGTTTTACAGTGAGACAGTAGAATGTCATTTTCAAGTTAGGACACAGAAAGTGATTTCAGTTGTACAGTAAGACAGTGAAAAAACAGTTCCACACTACCCTGAACACACTAAATAATAACACTGAAAAAAAAAAGGAGTAGCCTACAATAGAGTACCCATTATAGACTTGCATGTGAGCCTCAACCAGATTGTCTGAAAATTTTAATAATATGGCCTACATTGCTATAAAGAGTTTGATACAATAGAATTGGATAAAGATCTATGAATCCTCCATATAGATCTCAGTGATCTAAATAAATCTAGATCTAGATCTAGTAGAACAAGTGAATAGGAATAGATCTAGAATCTAGGCCTTCAACGAGAAATCCGCATCCAATTCCGAAGAGAGGGACTCAGCTGAGTCTAGGGGTCTAGATTAGATCTTTATTCTAACTGATAAAATGCGTTTTACCAACATTAATATTACAGCACAACCTATAATATGGTTTGACAAAATAGAATTGGAATATGAATCCTCCATTGAGGTCTATAATGATCTATAAATCTAGATCTAGAGTAGAACAAGTGAGTCGGACTTGAAAGAATCCACATGATCTGAACAATCAGTAAACAAACGAAATTCAAAATGGCCGCTCGAGCACAAAACTGAAAGTAGATAATTTAAGTTGTCGTACTTTTTCGTATTCGTATTTCTACTCAGGTTCCGACAATTATGTCGGCAGTTGGCAGTTGGCGATCGGCACGAAAACGAAAGTGCCGACAAAGCCGACGGGAGAAAAAGGGGGCGCTGGCAGTCGGCCAGGCCTTGCACTACGCACATTGACTAATACAGGTGGGCCTAGCGATAGCATCGGCCAGCTCGCAGGTCGGGGTCGCGATTGTCGGATTTCAGACGATTGTCGGCAAACATGCAGGTCTACCATTAGTCACATGTAACATCAGACAATGTTCAGGTGAAAAAACACAAAAAAAGGGAAACAAAAGAAGAAAAAGTAGAGAACTACAACAACAACTCTCTCTCTTGCCCTTTTTAACTCCCAGTGGAGCATGGGCCATCAACAACATTTCTCCAGCTGAAGCTTGTCCTGTGCATCCTTTTCTAGTTGTTTCCATGATGTCCCCGCCCTTTCCATTTCCTCTTGTACCACTCGCCTCCGTGTCATCTTTGGTCTTCCCTTCTTACGTTTTCCTTGTGAATTCCACGTAAAAGCCTGTCTGATGACGCTTGTATGAGGTCTCCTCAGGGTGTGTCCAATCCATTTCCATTTCATAACCTGTATGTCTTCCTTTACTGGCCTTTGGCTTGTTCTTTCCCATAAAAACAATAACAACAACAAAACCCAACAAGTTTACAAAAGAATAACTTAACAAAAAACAGAGAAGGAAAAAAAAAACTTCAGTAAAATGAAGGAGAAGTCAATACAGATAGAATAAGTGACCAATAGCAGAGTGCGTCAAACAAGCCTCTGAGAGGGGGGGGTTGAGGTCCTTCCATGCCTCTGGTTATCATCCACTCACCTTGTTCAGGACTCCTGTGTCACATTTGTTCTTCAGCAACACTTCCACAGCTTTGAGGTGAGCGAAGTACGCAGCACAATGGAGAGGGCTCCAACCGTTCTGCAATGGGATAGGAAAATGGTTATAGTATATCAACATTTTCAAGCAAATAGTCTTAAACATCCAAATTGAGAAAACCAAGCAACAATATGATTGAAATATATACACTATCAACTTTTACCAAGACATCTGGCTTTTAAAAAAAACCAAGAAAAATGCTAAACATTAGAAGAAAAGAGTACTTTATATTTATAACAAAAACCAAATTTTCAATCAGTTTTCTTTGATTTCCATGGATCGATATTGTCCTCAATTATGAGTTCAACGGCCCATTAGAATGGACTTTTCTAGGTATCAACACCACCAACAATCCCCCACCATTGTACAAAATGTACTACATATACAAATAATATAAACTTATCAAACTGTCACAACTCATAAGTGTAAAAAGCACAACAAAGTAGTGGAGAAGAAAGTGAGATGAAGAGTTCTCCACTTTCAGATACAAAATCAATTTGTGGACAATAGCAACACATAGCTGCCACTCAGAAATTTTTAAAAAGGAGGAAATTCACGCGAAGGCGTACGCGTGCTCTCTGAAACCAGTGAGATCCAGAGGCAATATATACTGGAAAATCTAGCCTATGGTTTTGGAAGGGAGAACTCTCATATTGTTAACCATAGGCAACTGAATTAAAGGGTATTTGAAAAAAACAACAACAAACAAACAAACATAAAGGCAGTAAGTTGACTAACAAGCATTCGAGTCAATTTGACAGTTTGGACTTGGTGACTAAAAATCCAGTGTTTTTTGCCAGCTGGTGTCTTATAAAAAGATTTCTTTCTCTTTAAACTTGTACATACATAGACGTAGAGCAGTATCGGACCAAGGATGCAGGCACTCCTGTACAATTGCGGTCCCGTTTGCACTTAGTGCCCCTGTAGTGTGTTTCTTATTCAGAGATCTAAACTGAATTAAAATTATAGCCTAGGCTATCTAATCTAGATCTAGATATATCTAAATATGTGTAGATCTAGATTATATCTAGATCTAGAGACAGATTTTCTAGATCTAGATCTAGATTCACTTCTGCAGCAGCCCCAATAGCCGTCATGTAAACAAACGGGACCGCAATTGTAATTGTACAGGAGTGCCGCGATTTCTTTCGCAAAAAACAGCTAAATCTAGTTCAATTTTCTAATGAACTTTTCAAGTCGCACACCGGCTGCTTCTTTCTCATTCCAGCTCCTTTTATTTTTGCATTCTGAATCAATTTCTCTCGAATTTCCACCACTTTCAATGACAACTCGGCGTGCTAACGTCCCGATGCCCGATCGACACTGTGACAACAATGTGAAACTAGCGCTGGGCCTAGAAGAACGGAAGTAGAAAGCTACGGGCGGACATGCGCAAACCGCGTTTTCGTCTCTCTCCCGGTTCGGTGTTTTCCGCGGGGGGAAAAAAAAGTATGAAATTTGCGACCAAGAGCGGTCCAGCGGAGGAAGGAGGAAAGTTGCGGGAAAAGCTAGATGTAGCGGAGTTTCCGCTGTTTAGCGGGAAAGTGGCAGCTATGGCAACAACTGGGAAAATTTGTGTTATGTTCCTTCCCCATAGACAGACGTTAGACCGAGCCAAGCCTCGATCCAACATTGTAGCCTTGGGGAAAGGCATTCAACGTAAGTTTTCCCATTTGGCTTAGTCCTGTCAGAGATTGACGTTAACTTTCAGGTCCCGCCTCTGTTCTATATGGTATTTTTGGCCATTTTGAGTTACTAAGACCAAGAAGACAGAAACCAAATGTTCTATCTGCTCTACAAAAAATTGTAAGATTATTTCCGAGTCATTATCCAGACGTTCCAAGAACTGCATTCATAAAAGCTTGACATCTTGTGAAACTAAAAGATTGTAAGGTCAAATTTTTCCCAAACTAGGCACTGAGCAGATAAAACTTTGTAATTCCAGGACGGTAGCGAATAGTTTACCTTCTCCTGGGCATTCAGATCTGCTCCAGCGTCAGCCAACATCTGAATGATTTCAGCATGACCCTTCATGGCCGCATGGTGCACAGCGGTGTTGCCCCTCTGGGAAGACACAAAAAATCAAAACAAATGTATCATTTAGTTTTAGTAAGTGTTTTACAGCACTTGCAACACAATAAGGTCATATAAGTGGCGAAGATTAAACATGTTACAAGAGAGTAACAAACTTTAAAAAGAAGGAGGGAAGATAAAGACGATAGACGTTTGATAGGAAAGAAGAAGCAAACCACACCAGAGCATCCGCCAACCACCCACAAATGTACCATACTGCATTGTGGTTTATCAGTAGTCAGCAAGATAGCGTCCTCATTTCACAGCAAACTTATTCAGATAACTGTAATACTAGAAACATGAACAAGAGCAAACACAACAATATTCACCAACAGCCCTCATCAGGCAAAGGAGGAAAAAAATAAAGAAAATCAAAAATGATTATGAATGAATCTCCAGACAGCATATTTCTCTCTGCACTATTTTTCCCTCTCAAAATAGAGTGGTACTGTGTCTGTCAAACTAGCAACTACTCTGTAAGGACGGAAATTCAATTCTCAAGAATGGTACCTGGCATAATTTTCAATAGTTGACCCAGTTGAAGTTGCAAATGAAGGTTCATGACAATCAGCAGAGATGGGACATGAGAATTAGAGAGGCAAGTGATTAACAAGCAGCAACACTGTAT